TGCTATTTTAAGAAACTTTAGGTTTGTTTAGTATGTTATTAGATATTTAAATTTAAACTCTACTCTTCTGCTTGATCTAAGGTTAAAGGAATTTCATTATCTTACATATTCTAATGAAATTGTTTAGCTTCTGTTTTGCATTGTATTATAAAATTGTTTCTAATTTATATGTACATAAAAGCACCAATTTGGTTTTCTCTATTAATGTTGAGAGCCAGGGGTGAAACTCTGATTCATATACAGGGGATGGAATTTGCTACAGAGAACATGGCACCAGGGGGCTCAGTAGAATACTACCTGAGCTATTCATTCAGCCTTAAGTTTTTTTAGAATGCCGGGTATTTGGAAGCCTTTTTCCTTTAGATTCAACTTGGGTCTACAAGTTTGTGAATTAGTATTGATGGACGAAGGGGAAGATAAACAGATGTTGTTTTTAATTAATCTGCATCTCTAATTGTAAAATCTTTTTTTTTGGTAAACTGATTTCTGAGACTGCTTATTTTGCTTACAATGCTTTTTTAACATTGTTTGAAAATAATTGACTAATCAAATCTGAACAAATCTCTAAAGTAAATTTATGACTTAACTTGGTAAGGCCAATTATAAAACTTCTATGACCTATCGTGTATCTAAAACTCTAAATGTTGAAATATGTGGTGAAATTGGAATAATGAATCGAAAGCACCTATTCATAATCAACCATATAAAAGAAAATGTAAGATAGTCACTGCGGCGTAGGGCTAATACAAATCATAAATCATATTACCAAAAATGAGATTAGAAGAAAGATTGTAACACAGTAGCTAAAGGGGATATCAAATCCCAACTTCTTAAATTAAGATTAAAAATTCTGGAATCATATAAACCAGTAATATACACTGAAAGTCTGAACCTGAAAGAAAAAATGGATAAAATAACAAACTTACAGGATCTGCGAGATCAGATTCTTATATGATCTATCAATTATCCAAAACTCTAAATGCTTAAATATTTGGTGGAAATGAAATATTGAATCAAAGAGAGGTAGTTCATCACTTCTAGAATATCATCTTCTACAAGTCCTCAATCGCTATTGCTTATAGAAGAATATCTTCTGTACCACTGTTGTTTTTTTCATATGTGCTTCTTTGGTTGTATTTTTACCAACTTGATTATCTAACTATTGAATAGTATTCTAATTTAGTAAAACCAGTGGTTTAATAATCTCACTTTATAGTGAAAACAAGCCTATATGACTTTTAAGATCTATCGTATATCTTTAACTCTAAATGCTGAAATATATGGTGGAATTGAAATATTGAATCAAAGAGAGACAGTTTAGCACTTCTAGAATATCATATACTTGATATTTCCTCCATAAAAAGATATCAAGGTTGAGATAAGTAATTTTTTTCACTTTCCTATTATAAGTGAAATGTCAAGTATAGACCAGACAATTGATAGAATGACCAAACTGAATTTGAATTTCAGCACAAAAAGTTTGAAAAATATGAAACAATTCAAAACGCCCTTTCATTAAAAACAACCATGTGTAACGGGAAAAATCATCCACAAAAATAACAAAATAACGGAAACCAAAAGTAGAAGTGACGCGATACGGACCCCATACATCTGTATGGACTAAATCAAACGGTGATGTAGCCCGTTTATTGAGTCGCCTTGGAAAGGATTTACGAGGTTGTTTTCCAAGGTGACATGACTCACAATCTAAAGATGAAAGATTTGAGAAACCTGGAACCATACGTTGTAACTTTGAGAGACTAGGATGACCCAGACGGTTATGTAAGGTAATAACATGTTCAACTGAAACACAAGCGATTGGATCAAGAGGATGGAGATGATATAGACCTTGAGATTCATGTCCGACGCCAATCGTTTCCCCCGTACAACAGTCATGCACAATCACAGAATCAGCAGAAAATGTTACAGAACAATTAAGAGCATGTGTGATTTTACTGACAGAGACAAGGTTAAAAAGGGTGTTTGGGACATATAAGACTGAATCTAATGGTAGGGATGAAAGTGGAAGTGCTTGTCCAATACCTGAAGCTGAAGTTTGAAGGCCATTAGCAAGAGTAATCAAAGGAAGATTGTGGTGCTTGGAAATATGGGATAAAAGATGGGGATTACCAGAAATATGGTCTGAGGCACCTGAGTCAATGATCCATGAGCCTGTTGTGTGTGAAACATAAGCAGTAGACAAACCGGGTGTGGATAAAGGCATATTAGTCAACTTAAATTGCTGATATGTTGCATATTCTTCTGGTGATAAAACAATGGGAGATGGCGGTAGCTGAGCAACGTGGGCTGAGGGAGGACGTCTCCCATATAATTTCCAACACCTATCTTTAGTATGATCAATGTTGTGACAAAAATCACATTTAGGACGGTTTCGCCTCGAGAATCCTGTGTTGTTTCCACCGTCACTTCTCATAAAAGACTTTTTTTTGTATCTCTCTCTCTCTCTTTTTGTTTTTTGTTTTGTTTTTTTTTTGTACTGTTTTTTTTCTTTTTTTAAGATAACAGAAATAATTTAAATCTATGAAGTAGTGAAACAGTAATTAAACATCAAATAGTGCACCAGTAACTAGTTAATAACGCAATGCAGCAGTAACTTTCCAAGGCAGCAGCGGAATTGCGGAACAGTAGGCTAGGGATTGCGCAACAACAAAAAAATAAGAAAAGCAGACCTTGGAAGTGGTGGACAGGCGTAACAAAACAGTGGCAGAGGCGGCAGGCAGACCGGGCGACGGTGACGGCACGACCGATCTGTGCAACGCGTGAGGTCGGCGGCGGCACGTGAAGTCGGCGGCGGCGCGTGGATTGTCCGATGAGCGCTTGGGTTATGCTGTTCAAGTCGCCAGGAACTCCAGATCTTCACGGTATCGACTGTGAGATCTCCGGATAACTAGAACGGAGTAGATCTGCAAATATGTAAGTGAACTGCAGGGAGGGGGCGGTGGCGCGTGAGGGCGCGTGGTAGCCTCTGTTCCGGTACTGTTCTGGGTGGTTAGTCGCGATGTTATGTTGAGCAAGGCGGTAGGTGTAGATATTCACTACCGGAAGCGTGCTCCAATACCAATCGCAGCTACTGTTCACGCCAAGAATTATGACAGAAATGCTCACCGGAAAACCAGCGCCCTAACTACTTCTTGCCATATGGCTCTGATACCATGTGAAGAAGTATTGTTGTATTTCATATATTTTTTATACTAAAATGATATACAAGAAGCTATATTTATAGCTATATTTAGAGTACAAGAGTTTCCTATACAAGATATACAAATGGGCTAAGCCCAATACTACTAGGGTTTCCACAGAATTTTTTAGATTACAAAAGATATACTCTGTGTGTGTAAATAGTATCTCAAATTTTATAACACTTCTTGTACAAAACTATCACAAACTGCATGTCTGCATGGTTGATCATCACTGTTATTTAAAATTTAGATTTTAGAAATTTGATTGCGGCGTATAACTATTGATTTCTACTTTAGAAAAGAATTGACACTTTTAAATGATCAAATATCATCAAATATTAAAAATAACACATATATAATATCACAGTTATCATCAACGACGTCATTATAATATATTTTAGGGAAAATCTCACTTTTAATCCCTCAAAGTAATACTCGTGTAATTTTCAAGTATTTAAATGTAACTCCTCAATTGTCCGAGTTAGTGTAAATGAAGTCATCGCCTAGATTGTACTTTTCACCCCTCAAAGAACTACATTTATAGTGATTTAGACAATTGAGCGATGACATTTACGTATTTGAAAATTCGGAGATTACATTTGAATATCGGTAGTGTTTGAGGGATTGATAATACGATTGGATAGTAATACACGATTATATTTGATGTAAACAAGAAAATTTTGTCAACAGAGACATATTTTTAGATTGATTTACTCCGTACGTATTTTATTTGGATCGAATAAACGATTTCATGCTAAAACACTTTTTACATTTACTTCCACAATTCCATATTAGTACACAGGAAAGTCATTATCCTGTTTTTGCGCTATTTGGATCACTTGCTCTTATACGGAGTATATTTTGTACCTATAAAACACTACGGGTACTACGTGCATCTATTCCATATATAGGGAAAATGGTCAAGTAGTTTTCTCGAATTTACATAAAAATGTCAAATAAGTCTTTAAATAGGAAGTTCTATTCGATCGTCGCCAATTGAGGTAGTTTCCGGTGGATTTTTTTGATGAATTTTTTTAGCATCTTATTTATGAAGTCTAGTTTACTCATACCAAATTTCAGCTAACAATTCAATTCTAAAGACATTCAAATGAATTCTTGAAGATAATTGTGCTTTTAACTACGCAGTTATCTTCAAGAATTCATTTGAATGTCTTCCCGATTGAAGTTTTAGTTGGAATTTGGTATGAGTAAACCAGACCTAATGAATAAGATGCTAAAACAATTTCATCAAAAAATTCCATCGGGAACCGCCCCAAATGGTGACGGCGGGACAAAGCCTCCTATATAAGAGTTTATTTGACCTTTCTTATGTAAGTTCGAGGGCCTATCTGACCTTTTTCCCCCATATATATAATGGCCCATACTCCGAGTTCATAGTCTGAAAATTAATTCCACTTTTTGTCCTATGAGTTTTGTGTGTCATTTCCACCTTTACTCTACGTCTTTCACTTTGTCCAATTTTGGTACTTGACTAATGTTTTTTAACCATTTGTGGTCCTTTTCCGTCGACTTTAACCATCGGAAACAATGCCGGAAGGACCATATGTGATGTGAGCGAAAACACAACAGTCATGTATAAAAAGTGGACAAAGTGAAAGATGTGGACTAAATTTAGAATTTACCTAAAACTTATGACCAAAAGTGTAATTTATTCTAGCGTAAACTAGTCTCAAATACCCCTTTTCTTCAAACTAGTGTTTAAATCTGCGAGCTCCGATTTTCTGGTAATATAATATGGAGTGATGGAGCAATAACAACAAAATAGTACTCCGTACTGTATAATTAATTTTTTAAACTCAAAACATTGTCATTAAAACCGCAAAGAAGCGCCAGCGTCACAATCCACTCGATCTTTACTCTTTGTCAAATTGTTCTTCAGAGGGGACGGCCGGGATGGAGACGGTGCTCCGGCTGTGGTTTTGCCACCTTATGTCCTTCTACTTCTCCGTCACCGCGGCCGTCATCGGCCGCGTTCTGCCCAAAACCCACCGCTTCCCCATCCTCATCCCCATATTCGACTCGATCCTGTCCCTGTATTTCCGGTTCTGCAATCTCTGCCCCTGCACCGTCGATTTGGACGACCAGACCACCGTGCACTTCTGGGCCCCCACCCACCGCCACTTCAGCAAGCCCAACCTCGTCATAATCCACGGCTACGGCGGCAATGCCAAGTGGCAATTCGCGCTCCAGGTCCGGCAGCTGGCGAAATCCTTCAACCTGTACGTCCCGGACCTCCTCTTCTTCGGCGAGTCCCACTCCCGGCGGCCGGATCGCACGGACGCGTTCCAGGCGGAATGCGTGGCGGAGGGATTGAAGGGGTTGGGGGTGCGGCGGAGCTCGGTGTACGGGATCAGTTACGGCGGGTTCGTGGCGTATCGGATGGCGGAGATGTATCCGGATGCGGTGGAGAGGGTGGTGATCGTGAATAGCGGGATTGCTTCGACGGCGGATCAGAGGGCGGAGCAGATGGTGCGGCTGAAGAAAATGGGTCGGGAAAACGCGGTCGACATTTTCTTGCCGGCAAAGCCGGACGACCTGAGGCTGTTGGTGAATCAGTCATTCAGCAAGTGTGACCCTCTCAAGTGGGTCCCGGATTTCATCCTCCGGGAGGTCATCACTGTGAGTGAGTTCTATACTTCTATCCTTACCATCCACCGGCCTTATCACTAGTTAATGGTCATTTTTAATTTTTAATACTCTAATTACTCTCATCATATTTTATTATTATTTCATACTCTTCTCTTGAGTCTCTTCTACTCCGTAAAACTTGTAAAATGTGAAGTAACGGATAAAGAGGTAATTAGGTAAAGTAATATGGTAAGAATTATAAGAGGAGAAAATATATGGATCCACCTTAGCGTGCTGATTGAGGAGCACGTTGTCGATGTGAACTATTAAAATATTTTAAATGAATAAATCTTCTTAAAATATTTTAAATGAATAAATCTTATGGCCCTTGAATGAGTTGATTTTTCTGAAATTTATAAAGTTATGCTTAAAGTGGCTAAGTTGACGATTCTGCTGATTTTTTTAAATCACATTTAAAATATACTACTATGTAGTATGTTATTAATAAAATAAAGAAAAAATTATACAGAGCGTGAAAACAGCTAAAATGATCTTTTACATGTAACTTCACCTAATACAGTCAGAAAAACAATATTACATGCATGTCACATGTTTTTCTCAACGCGCGAAATCAAAAGTTACATGTTTGGTGAAAAGATTGGTTGGTAAGTCTGATAAGTCGAAAAGCAGAGACAACAGACCTTACTTCTTTGTTGTTATCACATAATTCAACACGCAACATCAAATATTACGTGTTTGATGAAAAATTTGATTGATAAGTTTGACAAGCCGAAAAACAAAAACACCGATATTAGGGATGGACCCGGGCCGGGCCCGGGTGGCCTTTTTTTTTCAAATTGTTGGGCCCGGAACTGGCCCGGGTTGATACTGGGTCTGGGCCTAACCGGGCCGGGCCAGGCCAGACTGGGCCCAGGTCAAGGTAACTTTTTTTGCTTTCTAATTAACCCCAACCCCCCCCCTTCACCCCAACCCCCCCCCCCCTCAAAACACCCAGCCCTAACCAAGAAAAACAAAAAAAATTGAAAAAACCCAAAAAAAGCCCAGGCCCGGCCCGAACCGCCGGGGCCCGACCCGAACCGCCCGGGCCCGATCCGAACCACCCGGACCCGGCCCGAACCGCCCGGGCCGGTTCAACAAATACAGGCCCCGAGCCCGGCCCGCCCAACCCTCCCCAACCGGGGAAAAGCCCGGGTCCGATTAGCAACAAACGGACCAGTCCGGGCCCGCACAGTGGCGGGCCGGGTCGGTTCCGGGCCGGGTCGAATCGGTTGGATCCACCCCTAACCGATATATTACCTCCGTCCCAATGAACTTTGCACCATTTGAGTTAGATGAGAAATAAAAATAATAAAAAGAGAAAGTTGACAAAATCCAATGAGAGGGAGGGAGTACGAATATTTCACATTATTCACTTCTCTTACCATTTTCACAACTTGGTTAAAAAGTTGTAGAAACAACCAGAAAGTAAGGAAGGAGTGTATTAGATGATGTTTGAAGTATGACATGCAAACTTCTAACGTTACTCCGTATTATTGGACCAAAACCCGATACACATACATCACGTTAATTATTAAACATTAAAAAAGATCGTATTCAAAACGTAAACGTGCACTCATTGTTCTTTATATTGATTTATTATTTAATACTCTCTACTATACCTCTGTTGCATAAAAGTTGTAACTTTTGACTTTCACGTTTACCAACGTAATTATATTTATTTACGTATTAGTAAACATTAAAAAAAGTTAATATATTGTAAATTTACATTAATACAAATTTATTAATATTTTATACATAATATTTTTATTATATGTATTATTAGAAAATCGTAGTCAAAATAAGGTGTGTGAATAGTGCAGAAATTTCAATGTTGCAACTTTTATGGAACGGAGGAAGTAGCTATAATTATAATATTACTCTCAAATATGGAGTGCAATATACATACTCCCTCTGGTTTGGAAAGATCTTTACACTTTTCATTTTTATCAGTACCACAATTATCTTTACACTTCCTTATTTGCCTTATTTGGCAAATAAACTTACACAAAACAATGCCAAACAGTGTACTCTACAGTAAAGTCAAATTTATTTTCTTAAAATCTGTGAAATCAAAGTGTCAAGATCTTTTGGAACCGGAGGGAATACTAGGAAAAAGTTATTACAGGGTAGCCGCATACTTATGGCGGAAGCTGGCGGTATGGGCTTGAAGCTTGTAGGCCCATTTCGTTTTGTTGGTTGGATAGCTCAATTAAAATTTGTCAGAAAAACATGAATGGTCACATATGGTGATGAAAACTTGAAAAGCTGACACGTCATTGCCATGTCAGGTGATGTATAGTCCTAACAGGAAAGAGAGGGAAGAGCTACTAGATTACTTGTTAACGAATAAAGATCACAGCACTCATCGTCCCCGTCGTATTTCTCAGGTTCGTTCTCTCCTAATATCAAAGCAGATCAAATAAGAAGACGCTTAAATAATACGGAGTGCTTCCTACTTCCTCCGTCCCATTTAAAGGTTTTCCTCTGTTATTCTTTGATTAACGTGCATTGCTCTTAATCTTTTACTTTATACATCTAACTTTTATCAAATTTAAATTTTCTTTATCAGATTTTGTAGCGATTTTAATGCAATTTCTGAATATGTAAAAATAATTCTACTAAAAATAATTCTACTAATGACAGGAATCAATTAACTTCATGATCAGTCAAACGTCGTAAACCGTATGAGAACGTTTAAATGGAACTGAGGGAGTACTAAAGAGTTAATTCCCTAAATAGGACTAAAACACCAAAGAAGTACACAAATAGGACTTCCATGTTTAATAGAACTAAAAATGTATTGACTTTACAAAATTACTCTTAAAGAATTTAAAAATCCATTTACAATTATAAATAAAAAAATTAAAAAGTTGTCTAAAACCTAAGTTCAACGGCCGCCCCCACCACTCCAAATGCTGCCACCGCTTCCGGCGCTGCCACTTCCAAGTTCCGCCGCTGCTGCCACTTCAGCCACCGCTGCAACCGTTGCCGTCGCCGCCGCCGTCACTTTCGGCACCACTGCTGGCGCCACCATTGCAGGTTATGAAAACGCCTCTTGCTGCAAAAAAAATATTAACATAAAAATATAATTCTGCCATCTTTTATAAAAATATAAACATAATATTGACAGTTCTTATCAATATATTTGGTCGTTGGTGGAAGAAAACAATATTTTTCTGCCATAGCATATTATATGAAATTGCAAGAAATTTGGCAAAAATGAATCCAACATCCACAATCGAGAAAATCATAGTTTTAATGAAATCAGAAATTCATTGAAATTGGAAATCCAAACCACAAAATCTACCATAGTATATTAGTCAATTATGCCAAAAGATTGGCAATAAAAATTAATATTCAGAATTAAAGTTTTTCTGCCATAATATAATATTGAGTACTACATGCAACTGCCAAAAAGTTGGCAAAAATGTAAACTAGATGTTCAAAATCTGAAAAATCCAAATTCTCATCGAAATCAGAAATTTAACATCATAAATCAGAAACATGAAGCCGATGTTTACAAAACAGAAAAACGATGTCCAACTCCAAAAATGTTCATGAAACCAGAAAAAGTCTACCAAAAAACAGTAAAATCAGCAAGGGAAAATATGTTATTCAACGTCAAGATTAGGGAAGAAGAAAAAGAAGAAGAGAAGAAGATAAAGAGGAAAGACGAAGGAGTAGGAGAAACCTGGAATCAGCAATGGTAGAAGCGGCAGTGGTGTCAAAGCGGTGTAGAATCGTCGGAGAAAGGGGCGAATTTCGTGGCTCGACGTAGAGGTGTTGCGCAAGAAAAGAGCCGCTTCTGCGCACGTAGGAGAAGAGCCGCATAAGCTAGATAGAATTAGAATTATGACTTTGATGCTATTATATAGGAGAGCATAATGGTCATCCGGAGTCATATTTAGGGAATTAAAAACTTGTAGTCCTATTTAGGAAAAAATTAAGTTTAGTTTTAGTCGTATATAGAACAATTACTATAAAATAAACACATACGACATCTTTATTACTGGATCAAACCAATGAAAATTCATCAAATCAAACTAGGCCAATAAACTAAGAGTCCGTTTGGTGACTCTGTTTTTCGACTTATCTAGCTTATCGACCATTTTTTTAACCAAACACGTAACTTTTGATCTCGCACGCTAAATTGTATAATACGAGTAATAAAAAAAAGTATGTTTGAAATTATTTTTCTGACTCTATTAGTTGAAGTTAGTGTCTGTGTTAAAATAGTTTTTCATACATTTTAGTTAGAGCTTCATAATTTTCATCAGAATCATTCGATTAAATAGATTTCAGCGTTAATAAAGGGACTTTAAAAAGTAGACGAGTAGTATCAAACGAAAATATGGCATGTGATCTTATTTTTATTGATGCCACTTTAGATACAGTTTTTGCACATGATGGATATGTTACGGCATGTGATCTACTGCTCTTCTTTACACGGAATTGCATATTTCTAGAACATGCACCGATAGACGTATTTAGATCAAATCAAATACTTCCTCCCTCGTGAAAAGATTCGCGAAATTATTATTTTGGGATTATTAATAATCAATTTTGATTAATGATATTTTTTAATACAAAATTATTTAGAATATGAAATTTGTATCAAAATGTAACTTATTCAAAATATTTTCATAAAGGTATAATGTTTTTAAATTATATACAAATATAATAATTGAAATCATTGTCCAAACTTTGTCATTATTGACCAAGAAAAATCAATATGGTGAACCTTCTCGGGACGGATGTAGTAATACCTAAATCGGCTGTATTAGTTGATTTTATTGAAATTTATGAAATTCTGATTGAAATAATTAGATTGGTTGATTCTGCTAATCTATGAATAAAATTGCAGTATATTTTAAATATATTTTATTAATTAAGTAAAGAAATATATATGATAGAATATATATCTAGAGAGAAGTGAGAGCTAGAGAGAGAAGTGCAAGTAAATGCTTCAATAGAATGATTTTATAACCCCTACAACTACCTCCAGGGGAAGTATTTATAGGAAAAATTCGGGCTGGGCTCCCAAGCCTTAGGCTTGGGAGGCCCATTTACAATTGGACCGCTATTGGGCCGAATACAATGTGTGTAGAAATGATTAAGTGTAAAATCTAGTTCTGTGAGGCTTTCGTGGCCGACGAGGGCACGGCCGACGGGGACACCTAAGTTCCCTGGCTTCAGGATCATATTCTGAGTTGGTCCCTCTTCGGCCGACGGGGGTCCTTTGGCCGACGAGGGCACCGCTTGGTGGCTTGTACTTTCTGTTCTTCTGAGTATGTGGGTCCAGGGGCCTAGACCCATATACTCCATCAAGAGTCCCCCACTCTCTAAGCTGAGATGTAGGCGAAGTGAAGGAGAGTAGATTTCTGTGCTTGATGCTCGTGGCCGACGTAGTACCACCTTGGCCGTTCTTTGTCATGGCGTCGGTGGCCCTGTTCTGGATTTGGCCGTTACCTGCCCCTTGATATGGACGGGGAAGGCTGTCATTCCTTTGGTGCGCTGGTTTGTGGGCGATGAGTGTTCTGGGATTCTTGGCCGAGGAAGGTAGCGTCCTTTCTTGACCATTGATGGTTGAACTTTCCTTTCAGGCCGACAAGGCCGTTGAGGTTGCATCTTGTTTTGAGGACGATGCACGTCCTTTGCTCTGGATGGCCGGTGAGGGTGTTAGGCACCCCTTTTGTCCGTTGTTGATGACACCATGTGCCTTTGGGCGACAAGGCGCCATTTTGTCCAAGGTTTTTGGGGACGATAGCGGTGTCTGGCCGGAGGTGGAGTTATAAGGACCTTGGAACTGTTGTGGTACATGGACGATGTGGCCGCGCTTGTAGTTGCAACTGTGTACTTTGTGCATTTTTATTTCTCATTTTGTCTGCCATTCTTGAGGCCGGTGTAGTCCCCCAGTCCCCCACTGCTTCAGGCCAAAGAGTGAGTGAGGGGTGAAGGAGTAGCTTGAAAACTAGGCCGAAGCGGGATCCTCATGCTGTCCTTGGATCCAACCCTTTGGCGATTTCCTGACCAAGGTTACCCTGTGGGAGAACCCTTGGACGCAGGTCGCTTTCAAAGGGTTATCATCAAGGGTTTAGCGCGAGGGCCTCATGGCCGTTGGGTTCCTTTCCCTTGGGGTATTGGGTATTGTGGCCGTTGTAAGGCCTTTCTTTGTGTAATATGCATGGCCGCTTAAATGGCCGACATGGGTGCAACGTGGGTGGCCGTTGGCTGTGTTGGCCGTTGTGGGTGCTATTTTCCCTTCCTTGCTCCATAGAGCCTGCTTTGTTGGTGGGCCGCTGATCTGTGGAGGGGGGTTGGTTCATTGACAGAGTGGTGGCATCCCATTGGTGGCCGTTGGTGTGGCCACTAAGGTGATGCCACGTGTAGTTACCGTTGGGAGGGGGCTATAAATACCCTCCCCATTCCGAAGAAAGCCTTCATTTGCATCCTGAGTAAACGAAGTGCTGCCCAAAATTCTAGAGAGATAAAGCCTTTTGCTGAGTGTTCTTCACCTCCTTCAAAACTTCAAGGTCAGTTCCTTAATCTTTTCTTCGATCTCTTACATATTTTGCTCCCTCTAGGCTTTGATCCAGTGTTAGTCACAAAAACACTTTAGATCTAAAGTACATCCCCTTAGTGCCTTAGGAGTTGTTAAGATGAAAACCTTGAATGAGGAGTATTACCCGTATGACGACGAGCCCTCCGTCAAGTCTCTTGACTACGACGTGATCGAAGAGTATGCCGAGGAGATTGAACACTTTAGCCCGTATAATTCAAACATTACATTTTTCTTATTATTACATAACTAGTATTCTACCCATGCAATGCACGGGATAGTATTTTACAATATAGGAAAAATAGTCAAATAAGTCTAACCCATCACTTAAACTCATGCACTAAAGTGCATGTTAAAAATTAATCAATGTGGCCATTTATCCAGTTATTGACATGTAATAACCGATTTTTGTATTAAAAAATCTCTAAAACAATTCTTAAAATTTGTAGAGGTGTAAAGACTACAACAAAACTCTAGTCCTAGCTAGTTTGACTTCCTATAGTCGTAATATTTGAAATAGAGGAGTATAATATTTGCAATTTACAACATCATATAAAAAATACGGAATTGTGCAAATACTTACCAAATTTCATTTCTGTGCAAAATCAAAAGAAAAGAGTTGTTCATTTTTAATCAGTTTTAGGTAAATAATTAGAGTAAGTAATTAGGGTAAAATGTTTTTCCCTTGCTTGCATTCATACGTACATCAAGTATATATACAATTGAGAGTCAACTAAACTAAGCCCTTGACCCAAATTAAATTACTAAGCTAATTACAAATAATTACAAGCCCAAAGCTTAGTCTAATACCCCTCTCAAGTTGGAGCATGCGGATTAAAAATGCCCAACTTGGAAAGAAGATGATGAAATTGTCGATGACCAAGAGCTTTAGTGAAAATATCGACCAATTGATCATGAGTAGAACCATGTTGAGCACTAATCAAACCAGCCTGGAGCGCGTCACGAACGTAGTGACAATCAACTTCAATGTGTTTAGTACGCTCATGAAATACCGGATTGTGAGCAATGTGAAGAGCGGAGCGACTATCACAGAATAAGGGCATAGGCCGAGAGTGAACAACACCAAGTGTAAGAAGAAGACCCTTAAGCCATTTCAGATCGACTGTAACAGCTGCCATAGAGCGATATTCGGCCTCAATAGAAGTACGAGAGAGAGTGTGTTGTTTCTTAGTTTTCCAAGAGACAGGGGACGACCCTCCAAGAAAAACTATCCAGCCGGTGAGCGAGTGCCTGGTGAACGGGCAACTAGCCCAGTCTGAATCACACCAACCAGTAAGAAGCATATCAGAAGAAGCATGGAGAAGAATGCCCTGTCCAAGCGATCCTTTGAGACAACGGACAACGCAGAGAGCCGCATGCCAATGCTCCTGGCGTGGGGCCTGCATAAACTGAGAAAGAGTGTGAACAACATATGCCAAATCCGGTCGAGTAACAGATAAATAAATGAGATGCCCAACAAGCCGACGACAGGACTCAGGGCAAGGTAATAACTCTCCAGTGGCCAGAGCTAAAGAATGATTCTGCTCCATTGGAAAAGAAGAGGGTTTTGCCCCAAGAAGCCCTGCCTCAGAGATAATGTCCAAAGTATACTTGCGCTGACAAAGGAAGATGCCGTCAGCGCTGCGAGCCACCTCGATCCCAAGGAAGTACTGAAGAACCCCCAAATCCTTCATGTGAAAGCAGGTGTGCAAATAATTTTTAAACCGAGACAAGGTTGAAGAATTATTTCCGGCAATAATTAAATCATCAACATAGATTAAAAAAAGCAAGCGGACATCCCCCTGATGATAAGTAAATAGGGAATAGTCACAATAAGACTGAAGAAACCCATAAGTCTTCAAGGAAGACGCCAATTTAGCAAACCAGCACCGTGGAGCTTGGCGTAACCCATATAATGATTTTCTAAGTCGAAAAACAAGGCCAGGCCGAGAAGAAGAGAACCCAGACGGAGGTTTCATGTAGACCTCCCCAGCTATGTCCCCATGAAGAAAGGCATTATGAACATCTATTTGGTGCAGTTCCCAATTCTTAGCTGCAGCGACAGTTAAGAAAATGCGGACAATAACCATTTTGGCCAAGGGAGCAAAGGTCTCATTATAATCAATACCTTCCTTCTGGTGATTCCCAAAGACAACTAAGCGCGCTTTGAGCCGTTCAATGCTCCCATCTGAAAAATATTTTACTTTGTAAACCCATTTGCAATCAAGTGCCCGTTTGCCAGGAGATAACATAGTCATATCCCAAGTGTGATTATTTTCAAGTGCTTGAATCTCACTTTGCATGGCCTTTCGCCAACCAGGGTCGGTCATAGCCTCTCGGAAGGAATGAGGTTCATGTCCTGCAAGTATAGCTCCAAGAAACCGCCGATAACGATTAGAAAATTTATCACAATTCACATAGTGCGCTATAGGATAAGGCGTACCTGAGGAACTGACGGAGGCGGGCGGCGGAGATGGGCTTATTGTCTTGAGATGATGAGTAACGAAGTCTTGTAAGAGCACAAATGGGCGTTTTGACCTTAGACCACGACCAAGAGGGGGCTGTGTGGGCTGCTGCTCGGACGAAGTTGCAACCAGAGAAGTATCAAGAGCGACACTTGAGTCTTGAGGTGTTGCTTGAGCTGGAGGGAACGGGTCTGGTTCAATCAAAATTTGCGGTGAAATGCCCATGTCTTCGGCAGCCGTAGTAGGAGCATCGGACCCAACTGAAAAGGGAAAAACATCTTCTTGAAACTGAACATCTCGTGAGAAAAATATTCCCGGTAGAATAGTCATATAATTTCCAGCCCTTTTTCCCTGCCGGATAGCCAATAAATACACACCGCCAGCTACGTGGAGCAAACTTATCACCTCGGGATTTTAAATTATAAGCATAGTTGAGACATCCAAAAACCCTCAAGTGATGAAATCCGGTGGCTTCCCATTAAGAATTTCATACGGAGTTTTACCTCCCAAACGTCCAGACGGTGTACGATTAATGAGATATATTGCAGTTAATACGCACTCGCCCCACAAAAATATGGGAATATGTGCTTGAAACCTCAAAGCACGGGCCACATTCAATATGTGACGATGTTTACGTTCAACTCTGCCGTTTTGTTGAGGTGTGTCAACACAAGAGGTCTGAAAAATAATATCGTGCTGCTCAAAATAAGGTAACATACATCTGAACTCAGTCCCATTATCACTACGAATAATTTTTATAGGCATCTCATATTGTTTTTCAACCATAGTGATAAATGAAAGAACGTAATGACCCATTTCCTTTTTGTCACGCAATAAATACACCCACACAACCAGTGAATAATCATGAACCAAAGTCATGAAATAAATAGCATCACAAGTAGACAGGGTTTTGTAAGGACCCCACAAATCACAATGTATGACTTCTAAAATACGACTCGCTTTATTGCTAGTGAGAGGGAAAGGATCACACACTCGTCGCTGGCGCTTTTCCTCGAGCAATTGCGCGTGAGTTCTCCTCCTGAAGAAAGGTCTGGTGAGCTCTATTGATATCAGGTAATGGCGTGTGAGATAAAAGGTTTGACCGAACTGTTCCGTAAGCTTCATCGTCGATTCCAATCAGAAACTGATGGACTTGTTCTTCCTCACGATCTGCTGCAAACTTACCAACAACGTTACACGTACATCGTCCACAAGTGCACGTGTTTAGGGGTTTCAGCCGATATAGTTCTTCGTAGAGACTCATAAGAGCAGTATAATACGCGTCAGCTGTCATGTTTCTGGACTGCCTGCAAGCAGTGATTGATGCCCGTAATTGTTGCAGCCGGGGACCGTTGGCGACGCTGAATCGTTTTTCCAAATATACCCATAAGGAGCGAGCTTCATCATGAAACGGAATAGAGGCAACTGCCGGTTCCATACTCCGTAAAATCCATGAAACAATCATGGAATTAACGGTATCCCAATCAAGGTGTTTAGAGACATCTGCCGGCTTTGTTATGGTTCCGTCTATGAACCCACTTTTCCGGTGAGCTTTGAGAGACAGCACGAACGAGCGGGACCAGACGACATAATTGTCCCCTTTGAATACCACGTGCGTGATGAGGTTCCCAGATTGGTCTCCGGATCCCAAGTAGTACGGCGAGCTCGGATCTCCCATCTCTGCTGGAAGGCAGAACACGCTGGTGCTCTGTGCGGAGGTTTGCGAGAGAGACGAGGGCTGCGCACTAATTTGAAGGCTCTGATACCATAATCAGTTTTAGGTGAATAATTAGAGTAAGGAATTAGGGTAAAATGATTTTCCCTTGCTTGCATTCATACGTACATCAAGTATATATACAATTGAGAGTCAACTAAACTAAGCCCTTGGCCCAAATTAAATTACTAAGCTAATTACAAATAATTACAAGCCCAAAGCTTAGTCTAATAAATTTTTACCAGCTTATTTCCCAATTTTGAAAATCATTATGGAAAAAACATAAATGACTTTTGAAAAACTCTCAATAGATGTTATTTACTTGTTAATAACTTTCTTAAATTTATGAACTTTAACAAATTAATAGAATGAAACTTTACTCAAATTTTAAAAATAATTTGATTTCGTAAACAAAGATTAATTACCCATCAATTTATTGCTTTCTAGTAATCACAATCAAGTTTAATTGATAATTTGATACTACTATACAGAACTACTAAGACGTGAAGCAATGTACAATGCAGAAAGAAGGTTAACAAAGACTATCTGAGTTGAAAGAAGCTATCACCATAGATCACAACTTTTTCCAAATTGGTTGTCTATAGATATTTCCATAATGTACATGTATGTAATTAAGGGGCATCTGCAATTTCAATAATGAGATAGGTATTTTGCTACTATGTGTTATGAAAGAAATACGTAGAACTTGCACTCCCCAAACTTTTTACATCAATTCTTCTATACAAAATTTATAAACACTTCACACATATTTATACGTAATTATCCGTACACACAAACAAAGCTGCACGAATTGCCCGTGTACAAATGCAATTAGAGAGTGTACAGTTGTTTATGTGCATGGGCAATTAAGTACAATGTATGTGAAATGTGTATAATTTTCCTATACAATTTTTTTTTCAACTTTTTAACTTGCATGTGTTACTTATTACGGAGTACTTATTAGGTGGCATGCGATTGTGTTGTATTTTATACGGAGTATAGTATAGTTCACCTTTTTTTTTAGTTGAAATATTTCTACATTTGTCAATGTACAACTTTGAATGTAATTATATTTAATCTTCTATGAATAAAAACATTTAAAAATCAGAATATGATTTGTAGTGAAATAAATTTAACAATATATTTCAAGAAAAAGAATTGTGCATTAGTAAATAAAATGCAATCAAAGTAGAGAATGTGATTAGTGTAAAAAATTCAGTTGCAACTAAAAGAGAAGATAATATAAAAAAGAATATAAGAGTACATCACAACAACTGACGAATTGTGTGTTTGTGTAGGAAGCGCTGCTTGTTTGGGGTGAGTCGGACAAAATTTTCCCACTGGAATTTGGTCAGCTGCTGCAGCGGTAAGTTTCTACTTCAAATTCCACATATCTCTATAATTTTAGTGATTCTTCTCTAATTTCAAACACAATGTTTAAAAGTGGATATTATGATATATATATATATATATATATATATATATATATATAATAAAAATGATGTGTGTGTGTATTGTAGAAAAGTAATTCTATATGAAAATAAAGAAAATCTTTTATACAAACAGCTTTTTTGTGCGGTATAGTAAAATTATATTTTTATTACTTTAATATAGCAAAGTGATACTTCTTATTTAAATTTGAAAGCCAATCATATAACTTTGCATGAGTTTAATTATTTTAAGATCGATCAGATAGCTATTCGTTCATATTAAGCTTTTTGTATAATGTACCAAATGAAACGTATTTTTATGGTTTTATGCTAGACTATGTTGAGATGTTGTAAGAGAGATAACTTAGTACTTAAAATGCTAAAGAGTTATGTAAGTTCACTTTACGAATTGATATTTCTCTCATATGTATGAGTTACAAGAAATTCACTTTCCTTAAAAATGCTTAAGAACTTTTGCACAAATTCAAGAGCATAAACTACTGAGTATGAATTTCTTTCTTTTGATTTGAATAACAAAATGATGAAGATACCATATGTCTCACCCTTTGCATAAAATATGGAGATTATTATCTATATGAAGTGTTGCAAGCTGTTAAAAATAGTTTAGGTAACAACTGTTGCAGTTTTTGGAAAACAACATGTAACCGTCTTAACCGCTTAGACCTTGGTCTAGAATAACATAATTGATCTAGTAAGAGTTCCAATGCGAGCTCTACTATTGTAGATACTTTAGAATAAAACTTGTTTTTATATACAAGTGTACATTCAACGCCTACCAACTTGTATTATACCACAATTTCAATCCCCGTTAGTGTTCATGTTATTTTGAATTACATAAAATTGCCGGTGATACCAAAATCACCAACAATCGTCACCATTTTAGTGTATTTTACACTTGAATTTCCATCTTAGTATTTTGCACGTTCCAAATAAATTGGGATGTCTCGATGATTGAACCCAATACCCATCAACCCATTTGAATACCTGAAGACAAAATACATACAAGTTTCTATACTAAACTAGAACACAATAATTGACATGATTATAGAGTAGTGTGCCCTAATCCCACTTGTAATTGTATAAATGCTAAGACCCAAGCCTTTTGAAGCATGTCCACACTTCATGATCATATATGTATTCATTTATTCATGTACATGTTTATATTTCATCAAAGGAATTATTAAGAAATAAATTCAAACTTTCATACTACAGGCCCGAACATACACCTTGAGATGATTTCGACGGTGTGTTCCGATCCATAAGTGTGAGCTTTCCATATTGAACTCAACCCCTAACGTTCTATTAGAGATGAATGAGGTGTCTCACCATTGATAATTTAAATGGACTTTTATCTCATCTCTATCACAAACTTGTACACTAAGTCTCAGGCCAAACTTTTAGTCAAGTGGTCCGCTAAGTTATATTGTGATTTTACAAACTCCACCAAAATCATGCCATTCATGATTAACTCTGTAATCATGCTTTGTCTAACACCCATGTGTCTAGACTTGTCATTATAATCACGATTAAATTTAGGATCGAAGCAATAATGTTACACTAAAAGCAATTGTTGATAGAGTAACACACATTTTCCCTCCTTATACAACAGGCGTAGCACCAACAATTCCCTCCAACATCTGCCATCACTGCGGATGCACAAGATGCCTTCCCCACTTACCGTAGGTACTTACCTGAGATTCGAACATGTGACCTAGGCTCTGATACTACTTGTAGGATCGAAGCGTTGACCGCTACACTAAAAGCATTTGTTGATAGTGTAGCACGTCTTTTCCCTTCTTATAGAGCAGACGTAACACCACGGACCGGTTAGGAAAATGCTGGTCGAAGCCCAACACTAGATACTATAGCCAAAGTGGCAACATTATTCAAATGGATAAAAATGAGTGCAATCAGTTTTGACCACAATGAAATTGCACAAGTTAAATTTCTTAACCACTCTACCTCTTTCCCGGCGGTAGCCAATACAACAAACTCGGATTCCATTGTTGAGCTTGTGATACAAATTTGCTTCTTGGGTCTTGACGACACTAAAGTCTTATGTGCCTCAAAATAAATTCGTTACTAACACTTATACGTAGTATAGTGAAGTAGAGTTCGTATCCACAAAGAAATGAATATTTTTCTTTTCTTGAACTAGTAATTTAAAGGGGGGTTTTGGGATTGTTTGATTTTAATCAATTAAAATACTAAGATGAATTAATTAATTAATTAATGAGATAAAAGACTTGACTTTGCTACTTTCCACTTGTTGATATGTTTGTTGATCCCAATTATATCTATAACTTATCCCCTCTCGAATACTCAATCAAGGAGTATCTCCAATTCATCGAGGGTAGTTATTAACCACGACTGTGCATTAATAACCCTTACTATTAGCCAAATATAGAACACCGCCATATACCGACTTGATAGTAGCATTTAATCTCTTAACTCCTTGATGAAATCAATTGAGATTGATAACCTTGACACAACGGTTTCGGTTTAACAAACACAGTTAATCCCTCTTAAGATTATTAACCACGACCGTGCATTAATAACTCGAAGTTACTTACCTGTGAAACTATCAATGATTAACCATCAGTTCATGGCTCATTTCTAGTAGTAATTAACGCTAAGATGTGAGCTAATTGTCATCTTAGTAACACTCCCCAACATTAATATAGAGATGGAATAAGGGAAGAATTAATATTCAATGGAAGAAGTAAGAAAATAACTCATAACTTTAACATTCAACAAGCTTCAAGAGCAAAACCAAGAAATAGGAGTTTAGCTCCTCATTTGGAGACTAAACAATGCTAGAAATATATAAATAAAATACTATTCTAAGTTGAGCTTAAGTATATGGAAGAAGGGATATTTCAAAGTGAAGGAAAAGGGTGCTACTTATAGGTGTTTTCAACACCTTTGGCCGGATACCCGACCGGGTATAGGTACATACCCAACCGGGTGTCGGTCAAAATCAAATATTTGCTCACGATGTTGTGTTTTCAGCACGTCTTTTTGTCCGGGTTACTTCATACCCGACCGGGTAAAGTACCATACCCGACCGGGTATGTGCCCAATTTCCACGCAACTTCCGTTTTATCTTCATACTCGACCGGGTAAGTCACCAAATCAAATATTTTGCATGATTTCTTGCTCCCTTGCACCTTCCTTTGTCTTGTAAGATATCTTCCATGCTCCTCTGTTTTGTTCAAGCTCAAAATCTTCTAAAACTAATAAATTACAATAAAATAGGAAAAGTAAAGTATTACACCAAAAGTGGGTAATTTCCCAAACAACAATAAATAAAACTAGTTATAATTACAAAGATAAACAATAACAATTCTATACTATCAGATGCTCAAGAAATGACACCCTCCAAGAAAAAAATACTTAACCACTTGTAGAAGAACGGTCATCTACATTGGATATATAACTTGCACCCAAATATCAATCTAACACCGAAGGATATCGAAAGCAACACAAACGATAATCTATTGTCCCTTTAAATTCTTGAATAATCTCTTCATTGTTTATCGATGTTAAGTACTCGAATTACTAGTATATTGGCTCAACCTACCCACAACCTAAGCAATATAAGGCTGAGTGCTTTTTGTGGCATACATCAAATTATTAGTAGTTTGAGGGTACTCTAGTTGTGATATTGTTTTTCCTTTATTAGGCATCAACTTCACACGGGGACCCACGAGAGTACTAACCGATGAACAATCACTATAATTAAACCTTTTGATAATAATTTCAATATAGCAAGTTTGTGTTGAAGCAATTCCTTAATTTGTTTACCCGTTTAATCCTTTTATTCCAAGAATTACATCCACACCCCCATGTCATTCATGGAAAATCTTGATGATAACAATCTTTTTAGTTTTATCAATCTAATTTTGGTCCGCTCCAAAAATCAACATGTCATCCACATAGAGACATATAAACACTTGCACCTAAAGCATCAAATTGGCTATAAAAAACATTTGTCTGATTAGTTTAAGCTAAAACCATTAGACAAGATAACTTCATCAAAATTTTGATGCCATAACTTTTGCGTTTCATAGAATATATGTGTTGTGTTGCAGGTACTTGGGTGCCAATAAAGCAAGATTGGAAGTGATAGAGGGGGCTGGACATGCAGCTAACTTGGAGTCTGCTTCATCTCTTAACTCTTTCATAAAGACTTTTCTTTTGCAAACTGATTCCCCTTGTCGGGAAGTTAGCTACCTCAACATGACTTAATTAACAACCCCATACATTAGTGAAAGCGCGACATACAATTTTATTATATTAGTCTTTGTCATTCTTAATATAATTCTTTGGATGATCATACGTACGTTAGAGAAAAGGTTTGGGAATAGTTGAAGTAATCAATTAATGGTGATAAATTATCTTGAAAGTAATGGTGATATTTATCTCAAATACTACCCAATGATTTTATTTAATTTAAAGACGTGTTTTAATAAAACACCTCTAATTAAAAAAATCAACTAGTGTTGAGAGTGATTATGAGGTATAAACCATTCCGTAACAGTGTCTTATATATCGACTATGGCATCAGTAACCAACTTAAAAGCCTAACAATGCTTTCTCATGTTTTTCTTTTATATGAGCTCCCTTTCTCAAATTTTCTATGTATCACAACTTTTTAGAGAAAATCCCTGACGTGAAAAAGAGAGCTCATAGATCATTTTAGAATCGGACCCGTCTGAGCTTGGTTCGATGATGCCCTACAATAAAGATGTCGTGTTTTCAATATACTTAAACAAGATATCTTTTAAAATTAGAGTAAAAATAATGTAGTTTACCTAAATAAAAGCGACGTGTTTTCCCCTTAATTATGAATAATTATGATCTCTTGAAGTCATACCAACATAGCTTGGCATAAATAGTCTGAGTATTAATGACGTTTTAATTTCATAATTCAAAGTAATATCCAAGCATAATAGTCATTGCTACTATTTAAAGAAACAATGTGTCATGTATTTGTTTCGCACTCGATTGAGTAATTTTTTTTAATCTAACCACATATTTTTTAGAGATCTATGCAATGGCATATGTTAATATTCTATTTTATTTTGTTAAATTAAGAACCATTGACGGAAGAACCATATGTGGTTGAAAATAATAGTCATGCATTAAAAGTAATCAATATCAAAGATGTTGATCAATTATGAAATTGGTGCAATACTTGTAGCGTCAAACGTAAAATTTCTTCAATTTTTCTAGAGAACATATAGTACCACATCAATAAGGAGATAAAAATTGCAAGTATACTTATTAGTTACTACTCCCTAATTTTTACTAAGACAAAAGAGTTAATTGAGTACATCAATTTGTATGAGGTGGATTAAAGAGTACTTTATAATTCAAATTATATTCACAAGTACACAAATTCGATTTTATGTGTTAATTGAGTACACGTGTTAGATTAATAAATTAATTTGGCTGAGTTGGCTAACGGAATGTAGGGGTAGTGGACCAAGGGAAAGTCGACCAAGGTTCTGGCTTCGAACTTAATGATGCAACTTGCGGGGTTGCATCAACAAATGGGAAGTCAACTTGCAGGGGATTGGTGTCGACCAAGGGGAAGTCGATTAAGGGGCAAGGGGTTGGCGTCAACTTTCAGGAAGTCAACCTATTAGCATTCTGCTAATCAACTTAGACATATTAACGTGTCAATCTAACATGTGTACTCAATTAAAACTAAAAACAGATTTTATGAACTTAAAAATATCTAACATATTAACGTGTCCTTTTTATTCCGCCTCATATTCAATGGACCCTTATCTCTTTTTATTGTTCCAAAAGGTGGAATCTCCCACCTCAGGAGCCCCCATCCCGACCCGACAGGATGGTGGAGAGGTTAGTCACGGTGACTCAGTCAGCAGATGGTAGTAGGCCCATACACCCGTGCGCACCAGAGGCCCAACCTTATTTCAAGTTCTATGACCTCTACCCGATCGCTGCGGGGATTCGAAACTTGGTCCATTGTTCCAAATCTCCCACTACTCGATACTGAGCTACCCGTGCCGGTCCTTATCTCTTTTTATTAGTTTATCCTTCGTAAATAGACAAATGACCCTCAACACTGCACGACTTGAACTCGAGTTATGTTCTGTCAAACCCACACAGAGTTTAGTTGATTGGGCGTCTGGAAAATTAGATAAACATCAAGGTGTTTATACGTCTGACTCACACCCTGATTTAAATCCTCCGGTATCCTTGTCCTTGTTGGGTGGAGGCGCTGGGGGTCTTGGAGTTCGAGATTAACTTTTCAACGAATCCAGTTTATTCTGCCGGGACTTGGGAGACGGTAAATCTGGTTAACCTGCACTGCAGACATCCGGGATCACGATAATTGATGCCGAACGATGTCCAGCCACGACCACGCGGTGGCGGTAGTGCTTTCTCAGATAGCACTGGCGGCGGACGGTGCTCTACTCGGTCTAACATTAGCTTTCGTTGCTGTGCGGAGCATACTCAAGTTTAAGGCTACAAACTCAGCTCTGCACAAAATTAAGGAAACTCCTTCGGTCCGCGTTTCGGATCTCCGCTCCCTCGTCGATGCCGAAAAAGAATCGAACCAATCAGACGAAGGGAGTTTGGTGATCGTCCGAGGCACTGTCGAAGCAAAGTCGGTCGTGGAAGGCAATTGGAAGAGCCTAATGACCAATGTGCTCGTTGCTCATGATTCTGGCGAGAAGGCTGTCATTTTACAGCGAACACAAAGTGTAATTCACTTGCTATTGTATTCTGTATTTTTATTCAGCTTTTATATAACACGTCAAGGGAATGAAGGAATTACCATTACTTGTTGCTACTCAAACTGTAGCTATATGGTGCAATTCAAGCTTTTCCGTCTGGTTTCGTTTGTCTTGAATGGCCTACTTCGTACTTTTACTCTCAAGTTATTTCCTTTAGTAAAATTAAAAATGAGTTTATTACACCTAAATTTGGGTGAATTTGGGTGAAATAGTGAAATCTGCTGAATTGCCTGGTTAGTTGGATGATAGAATGAACTATCTTTAAAATGTGTTCATGATTAAGTACATGAAGTAATATCTAAAATTGATTCTGTAGTTAAACTACTGTTGAAGTGTCATTTATCTTCATTAAAAAAATTATAAAAAAAGAACTTATGAAGTACTTTTTATTTATGATGTAGTTAAGTTAGTTAGGTAAAATATAAATCCCGCCATATATGTGGAAATAGGAGGGTTTTGGAGGGTTTTTGAACAGCTATGTCTATTCCTAATATTTGAGATTTTATATAATTGAATTCATTATATAGCCAGTGTTTATATAACATTTCATTTACTCATCATTCGTTTTTAGAAACATTCCATTTTATAAGATATAAACTAAATGGTGTGTGCTTAGCCTCCACATCGTTCCTATCCGAACTGACCTAGTGTTTGGTAGAATATATGGCTCACGGTCCAAAAAAATGAGGTACCATTATAGTTAAAACTTTAATGGTAAAAGAGATGTCTATATATAATATGACCGTAGTTCATACTTAATGATGGCTGAGGTTAGAGTATCCATTAGAATGAGCAGAAATGTTACAGTAATGCAGTCATTATTTTCGTATCATATACCTTTTGTGTCTATCTAAAGAGTACTTCTGTTTATTAAATTTCTATTTATACGAAGCTTGATAACAACCTAATAACCTAATAGGGTCCCAAGCTCTATAGCAGCATTACAGTTGTTGCATATTTGGATCTGTGTATTTTTATATGCCAGACCAATCTCTGTTGTTTATGTCATCATTGGATTATTATGTTGGGATGTTTACTACTCAATCTTTATCTTGTGTAGTGTATATACAATGATTGGAAAGGTTTCCTGGGATGGACCAGTGATGTACGTTCACTATTCACAAGATCTTGGAAAGAGCATAAGTCATCCTCCATAAGAACGGTAGTGTATAAGAACTCAGGAACTTGTGAATGATGCAATTCCGTCTTTTATAGCAGTGAGGTGTTTGTTTCTTGGTTTTAGTATTGTAGTCCTACAAGTCTGGTTTATTTTATACAGTTAGTACAAATATTGTTGTGCTTGTGATTGAGTGAAACCACCCTTCCTGCTTAAGATTATAAAAGCTTAGTTTTACCAATGAACCGGATTGCTTAGGGTGCTCTTTTGCAGTGTTTGGGGGTTGGTTTATTAAAAAACAGTAAAGGGGTCACCTCAAAGTGGAAAGGGCCTAGGATTTAATTATTTAAAGTTGCATTATGATGATCGTGACTCGAAGATAAAAAGCCATTCCATTATTTACTAGATTGTGCACTATTACTATTTCATAACGAGTGTATACAACTTTCGTCTTAAGAATATATGTCATGATGGAATATCCGAACAAAATTCCATACTGGTATAATACTGACAGCTGGGTGTAGTAGTAGATCTGGCAACAACCGCAACACATAAAATATGTCCACATTGGGGTATGTTATTCATTCTTAATAAGAGAATGGGTCATTTGTGCATATAGCATGATACTATGTTTCTATATGGGTCATTATGTCATTACATGAGTTTAAGACACAAATTCAGACTTAGAATTGTTTGCTTTTGTATATTCTTTCATGGAAAGTAGATTCGTGGAAAATTGATTGGTGGACTGGGTATCCATTAAAGTTGGTTCTTAAGTTGATCTTTCATGTTGTAGGACTGGTTTTTCTTCCATCATGCCATGTGCAGTTATTTAAGTTGGCTAGAATGTTCTTATCTTTAAAGCATGAACATTGTTAACTTTAAAGCACTTCCTATACATCTGACATAGCTCAACTAGAAACTTATTAGTTTTTTTACCATTATCCAAAAAGTGGTTCTGTCTTATTGCCCGAAAGTCATTGCAATCTTAGACCAGAAATTTAGTACACATTGATTAAAAAAATTGAGCTCCTATCTGTAATATCCTTGTATAAAATCAAAGTTTACATGAAGAAGTATAAAAGACGGAACCAAAATTGAGTCATAGTTTATCATCAAAAGAATAAAATTGACACCATAGGGTATTTTTTTTGACTTTTTAAAGAGAATCTTGTACTTGAATTAATTCCGGTAACAGGTCCCTTTTGTGATTGTTGAAGCTGGAAGGTGGCCGCAGTCGGAATATGTTAATGTTAAGCTGGATGGATCAACGCACCCCCTACCACTTGTAACAGTCTACCATCAACTCCATCCAGTTGACACCACTCCACTTACATGCCTCCAGGCACTTCTCGGTCATCAGTATCCTGTCAGTATGAATGATCTTACGTTTTTTGTTTGATTGCTCTAAGCTTCTCAGTTATAAATAATATCCATTCTGTTTGCAAAGATTGGCTTGCTAGATGAAGAAAAAATCCTGCCACTTGGGAAGGA